ATTTTAAAGCCATATAGCTGTTCCAAGTCACTGCACTGGGAAAAAAAAATTATGCCAAGAACGTAAATGTTTATTTAGAAGATTATACAATTTCCTTTTCTCTGCTTCATGTTGGTGTATCAATCACCAACATGTACTAGATCTGAGGACAGGGTGGGGTGCTTAGCAGTTCCCTAAAAAAATCCTACCCAACTTGCTGGTGGGGAGCTTTCCTCACATAGTAAACTCCGGATGATCCTGCAAGGTCAACTCATTTTACCCCCATGAGGCCACCAGCCAGCTTCTTCCCCAGCTCAAGACCATCTGCTCCGTCACTTGTGTCCCCAGCTCTCTCCATACGGCCCAAAAGCATTTAACCAGAGCCTTGTGTTGTGTGCAGAGTCTGTGTCCCATAGCACATAGAGGGACAATGCCAGCACTGGCCCAGGAGGAACTCTCTCTGATATTGTGACCACTCGCTGGCGTGAGAAAGCCAGTGCAGGTGACACCGGGGAAACAGTCACAGCTTGCCTGAGTAGACTCACTGTAACTTTCTCAATCTCCCCAATCGGCTCGTGCCGGCCGACAGGAACCATGCCTCCATTAGCTCTCAGATTCTGTCTGCTGCCTAGAAAATTCAGAGCACACTGCTGATGCCCATGGATGTGTTAAGTGAAACAGAAAAACAAGACAAACAAAAACCAAAGCAACAGCACTTCCAAACGAAGAGCAGCCATTCGTGGCTGAATAGCCAAACAAGTTGCTGCAGTGGGCACGTGTTAGAAAACTCCTCTAGCAGCAGGGCATCCCAAGCCCGGACTGTCAGAGAAACAGATGTAACCCGGTGACCTATACTGAAATAAAGCTCTAACCAGAGTACACAGACCTAGAGAACCAGAGCACAAATCCTAGTTGCCCAAAGATTCACAGGCTGACCTTCAAGGCCACTCTTGGGAGCATACCCAGTGTGGCTGCTGAGTCTCCAACAGAAAGTGATTTCCGCCCTTCCCTCCAAACAGCAACAAAACCCCACAGAATGAACTCTCTTATCCTGAACATTCAGCTGCCATTGAAGGCTGAGTAGAAAATCATTCAAAGTGTTTCCAATGAAAGACTTCGAATGACACAGTTTCATTACAAGCTATTTGCCCTGTCCCATAGCAAATCAAATCGAAAACAATGTACCAAGTTATATCAGCAGTTTTCTTTCATTTAATTGCTATTTCCTTCTTCTGGCCACTAAAGTTTCATGTCCTTTGCTTGATATTCTAACAGTATCTTAACAACCAAGAGCTACAGAAGCAAGGGAATCAGAAAGCAAGGAACATAGCTGCTGACAAAATGTGCTCTCAAAAAACCAGCTGTAAATTACTAATTTAAAAGCTGACCCTTGCCAGAGCTCTCAAGGAATCACTTTATTGCAGTAATCAATCCTCCCACATAGTAAAAGACCCGGCATGTATATCTCTAGCCTAGTGGCTAGTTTGCTGGTATGGCAAGTTAGTCTGATGTCACCTGTCAGACACAGAGAGTGACACCCATCAGTGCTATTTATTAGTCACTTACAATTTGATCTCTCCTTGTATTAAATTATACTCATGTCAACAGGCTGTCACATAAAACAAAACTGCCCTGGATCTGACACAAGGTCTCTGAAAACTGTGTCTAATCCACATAAACCCTGGGACTCCGAACATCAGTGAGAAGAGCCTGCACGGGCTGAGAAAGCCCAGTGAAGCATCCTGGGAAGGTGGACTGTTTTCACCCTTCCACCCTAAAGCTCTAAAATTAGGAATTCAGGAAAATAACCACACATCTATCCAGAGCCTGCGTGTGTGTCTCAAAACAAGATTTTAACCAGTTTGCTTTTGTCTGTGCTAACAGAGACATCTCATCTAAGACCAGCCATTTATTCTAGGACAGGGAAAATATTCACCATAATTCCAATTTTAAAGTAACTTTTCCTACAGTCAACTCAAACTCTAATAGGTGTTAGACAGAAAGCGTCTGTAGGTGTCAGCACCTCTAATTCCCTTTATGATCATTAACTCCAAACCATTATGGCCTAGATTTAAAGGAAGTCATCAAGTCTGGTGTCTAGAGATGCTGATGGTGTTTCGGGTCTACAGAGGTTTAAACCCGGGGTGGTAAAGACAGCTGGAAATGGCACAGGCCTGGCTTTTGCTACTATTTAGCCAAGCTTGGGCTTTGCTCTGACACAGCAGCCAGCTGCATGCAGCTATAAAGAATCCCTGACCTCACACTTCACAAGCTCCATTCTCCCTTCCTAGAAATCAAATTTCTGAGACCTGAAAAGCCACCTGAGCCCCACAGTAAGCTTGGGCAAGGCAGGATGGGCTGGCCCTGCAATATTCACAAAGAGAAATCATGAGATACGGTGCACCCAACCATAACTTGAGAGCAAGAACTTTCATATAACACTTAAATTCTGAATAACTGATACCCTTCAAGAGCTATTTTACTAATTATGTGCATTTGTGTGTTGTATGTGCAGGTGCCCGTGGAGGCCAGAGGCATCAGATCCCATTGTGAACTACCTGATGTGGGTGCTAGAACGGGGTCCCCTGCAAGAACAGTTATAGTAGCTTAACCACCTCTCCACTTCTGCCCCAACAACTGACATTCTAAGAAACAGATAACAAGCAAACAAACCCCACAGGATCCTAACAAAACAGTAAGGCCTGAAAGCTGGAGTTTTGCAACACTGGCTGTGACAGACATAGAACAAGGCTGCTTCTGAGTCTGGAGGACACTGACCTGACACTTCTGACATTTAACAATGACAAAGACTTTACCTGGATGATCCAGAACTTTAGAATACACTAAGGTCACAGAGTTCTGTGCATGTGTGAATGCTATGACCCAGAACACTTTTTTTAGAAAAGATGCTACTTTCAGTTTGCTGACCCCACCCCCCGCCATTTCTGAGAAAGGGTCTGAAGCAGCCCAAGCCTCACCCTTGATATATATCAGAGGTCAATCCTCCTGACTGTACTTCCCAGGGGCTGGGATTAGAAACACATACCATCATTCCCAGCTTGTGGGTTTTCTACATGACCACCCATAAAGTTTGTGGTGCTGGTCTATCCACAGAGATAAGCAGGAAGATCATTACTATTAAAAACTTGCACCCCTAGGGGGCAAACTTCCAACACACTTAATACCTTCACTATTGAAAACCCACTTTCAAGAGTTTGTCCCAAAGGACTCATCCAAACCTCAAATGCTTTTAACTTGTGTCCAGGTGCAGCTGAAGTATATTCATGCCAATCATGTCTAGCTTCTCCCCCATCTCTGTAAAACAGGTACTTACCTGGAACCCAGGCACCTAATTACACAAAAACAGAGATGCAAACCTGCTCTTAGAGTAAACAGGGGCCTTTCAATCGCACTTCCTCTGTGCAATGACAACAGCCACTTCATGCAAACCAACTCTTTTTCTTCTTCGTTTAGTTTCATGGTGAACTTGCTGACTGGCATTGTGGTACATGTGGGGAGGTCAGAGGACAGCCTGTGGGAGTTAGTTCCCCGTGGGAGCTATCACTTAATCACTAGCTTGGTGGCAAGTGCCTTTACCTGGCTGAGTCAATCTCACTGGCCCCAAAATAACTGCTGCCATTTGCTAACACTTTAAAAGCATGTCGCGAGGGAGGGACAGTGAGAGGGATTAATGATTAGAGTGGAACGTGACGTCTGCCAGAGTGTTGCAAGGCGTGTTACAACTAGACAGGCAAGGCAACTCGGCCAACCAAGGCTGGTGACAGGGAACTTCAGAGCAAAGAAAACAAGCAGGCAAGCACACCACAGCAGGGTTTGCTCCAACCCTTCTCTTCTCTAGCACATTCCTAGGACCATAGGCAGCAATGAGATGAGTTTGCCTTCCATGGGTCCTCTGCCAAGGTTGGTTGTGATGTGGGCCTGGACCTAGGGCAGTCAGCTAGCCTGTGAGGTCCAGCTCGGAGAAGCCCTTTCCAGGCTAGTGGGAGCCAGCTGATACTGTAGGAACCACTATCCTCCACTGCTTCTACCTTTGTAGCCATTAGCAGCACCTTTTTGTAACCAGAAGCCTGATTAAAGAGTTGTCCTAGTAAAATGCCTACCTCCCCACACACATATAGTGTGACAATTACTCATCCATGCCCAGATTTTTCCCTCCAGGTGATACGCAGAAACCAGATCCATGTTTTGTGGTTTCAAGAGGCTGCTGACCCCCAAATGCTATCTATCACATGCCTAATTCACCGCTTCGAGTATCTGCCCCCCAGAGACTTCTCCACAAGGCCCCAGTAGATATGGAAGAGACAAGCGACCCCTAAAGTTTTCAGATGGGCTGCGGGACTGGCCCCTCATTTCCTAGCACTCATTACCCAGCTTGCTTTCTCCAGTGACAAGTGGAGACAGAGCGGCCTGGATGCCTGGCATCTGCTCTCACCAGCTATGAGCTGACTCCACCAAAAGCTCCACAGGGTAGGATCACCCAAATCAGCCATTACAGCACTCAGGTGGTGGAACCAACAGCAGCCTGCTGCACTGAAGAAGGGAGGCAAGGATCAACTCAAAAGGAATGTGGGCTCCTCGTGGCTGGCCAGGAGCTGCACACGCAAAGCCCAGGACCAAGGCTGCCATACCCACCCCCCAAAGCCGGTCTGGGCAAGGGTGCGCTCTAGCTCCATCCTGCAAACGGAGAGGGTTAACCCAGCAAGAGGGGCAGCAATTAGCCAGGTGATCTTACCCTTGTCAAGTTCACTAAGACCAGGTAACAGTCCCAGAACTGATAAAGCACATAAAGCCTGGGGTGACAGCATTCAGAACCACCCATACCGCTGCAGTGAGCATCAGGACAGTTCACACCCTTGCGACCACTGGCCGCCTAGACACCAGGGAAAGCAGGTGTCCCGTTCCTCTAAAGCCCCAGTATGCTTACACTGCAGGCCGCTGGAGCGCAGGCCCAGCCCCCACTGGCCTGTGCAAGAACCCTCCCCCCAAGGAGGGCTGCCCACCTCTGCGAGGGGACCCCTCGATGCTCTCTGCGCTGGACGACTGCGTGTCGGCCGGGGCCCGCCGCAAGCTGAAGTAACCGCGGGAGCGCAGGGCGCCGCTTCGGGGAGAGGGCCCGCCGTCCCTACGCGCAAAGATGCCGCTGAAAAAGCGCAGCAGCCGGTGCTCCGAGGCTGCCCCCGGGCCGGCAGCTGCGGCCCTCGCGCGCTCTAGCCGCTGCAGGTCGCTGTTGTCCAGCGTGCGGTTCTTGCTCTTGCTGCGCTCCCAGCGCTCCAGATCCGAGAGCGCATCGTTCTTGCTGAGCACCTCGCCCACATCCAAGGTGTTGCGCTTCTCCGCTACGGGCTGAGCTCCGGCCACTGGCTCCGGGGAGGCCTCCGCCTCGACCTCGTCGTCGGGCGCCCATGTCAGGCTCCCGGAGCTGCTGTGGCGCCTTCCGCCGCTCAGCGCAGGGCTCCGCGGCGCCTCGGGCTCGCTCCAGTGCCTAAAGCTGAGGCTCCGCCGCAGGGGTGCGGCCCGAGCTTCCTCCACGTCGGGGCTGCTTGGCCGCTCGGCCGAAGGGCTGCCCATCAGGTCTGCAGGCTCCGCGCCGCGTGTGCACGGCCGTAGCCGCCCGAG